TATAGGAGGTTTAAACCGGTTTCTTATTTATTGATCTCCCCTGTATATCTAAGCTAGACAATGATGAAGTTCATAAGAACATTTTTACTCTACAGGGTGGTCCGAACTTTATTCCGGAAACTTCGGCAGCATAATCTGCAGATAAAAATAAGTAGAAAAGTTCGTATGAATGTATGTTTTTATTTCGATTTTTTTCAAATAATTTCTGAAGTAACGTAAATATTTGGATGAAAATTAGTGTCTGGAAGTTTTTTTGACATGAGAAATATGATTTTGATGATTTTTTACGTAAAAAAATCACGAAAATGTATATTTTTTTACTCAGTAGTTTTATACAGGTACGGACGAAAAGTTATTACTCTTCAAAACAGTTAAAACACATGTAGGTGGCGCCCTCTACAAATATGAGTCATATTGACATCAAAATCAAATTTCTCGTGTCAAAAAACTCCCAGACACCAACTTTCATCCAAATATTGACGTTACTTTAGAAATTACATATTTGGAAAAAATTGAAATAAAAATGAAACTTCTACACCCTGTATCTCCGAAACTAAGCATTTTAAGACATACATTTATACGAACTTTTTTACTTATTTTTATCTGCAGAATATCCTGCCAAAGTATCCGGAATACAGTTCGGACCACCCTTGTATATCTCTGGTGTAGGGTCTCTTAAGCTAGAAGATAAAAGGCAAACAAGAGCTGCAAATCTGCCTTTGACATGTCTGGACTAGTTGACGATAATATTCTACAGATAAGCCTTGCACTGCTTTTGTATTTTGTGGTTTTTCAAAAGCCATAGGCCGTAGTAATAGTGGTTCAATAAAAAATTATCACGAGCTCACTGTGATTATTATTATTACTATTATGTATTATCAGAAGAACGCACATTGAAATCGCTGCTCGCTGTTTGCAGCTAATTAATTTCTTTCTTGTAAAATGTTGTTTGTTGACCTCGACCAACTTTGCTAAACGCATAAGGAGAATGATAGATTTTAAAATCTCTTATATGGCCGTATAACTCATTTATCTTATATTGGTGTTTAAAAATTTTAAGTGCCTTTGTAATTCTTACAAACAAATCTCTAGAATGTCTATCATAGTATAGAACAATCTGGTATCAGTAACAATCAATCAGTAAGCCAGTTTCTGGCAGTTTTGCACAATAAAAATTCTTAAAATATGTAGTAGGAGTATTTATTGTCTTTCCTACATCTGTTTTTTTCACTTTAACGGTGTTTAATTAAGGATGCCTCAGTTTAAAGCAATGTTGCAGGCAAAAAGTCAGCAATTCGAAAGATTTTAACATTTAACAAAAATTTAATAGATACATTTTTATCTTTTAACACGTCTTATTACACCCATACCATAACTAAACCAAAAGTTCTTGATGTTGAAAAGACATAAATAGGTAAACGGAAAACATATCTAATCAGTCATCTGATCATGGCGTCTTGCACGTTTAATTATTCTCGGTACAAGCAGTCATTGAAAGCAGTGAATTTTTTGAAACATACTTTATTTTATAATACTGCTGTCGAGTATCGATTTTATGGAAAGCACTGTTCATTAAAATGTTGTATCCTATGTTATAGGGCTTGTTTCTCTCTACAATTTCCTGTCTCAGAATGTACCGTTTGTGTCCGGGAAGGGTTCATAGTTTCATAGTTGTCGATTTTCGAAAGAAATCATTACATGTATATTATTTCGTATATTTTTCATTTTATTGATCTTATGGAAAGCACTGTTCATTAAAATGTTGTATCCTATATTATAGGGCTTGTTTCTCTCTACAATTTCCTGTCTCACAATGTACCGTTTGTGTCCAGGAAGGGTTCATAGTTTCAAAGAATGTCGATTTTCGAAAGAAATCAGAACATGTGTATTATTTCGTATATTTTTCATTTTATTGATTTTATGGAAAGCACTGTTCATTAAAATGTTGTCTCCTATGTTATAGGGCTTGTTTCTCTCTACAATTTCCTGTCTCACAATGTACCGTTTGTGTCCAGGAAGGGTTCTTAGTTTCATAGTTGTCGATTTTCGAAAGAAATCAGTACATGTATATTATTTCCTATATTTTTCATTTTATTGATTTTATGGAAAGCACTGTTCATTAAAATGTTGTATCCTATGTTATAGGGCTTGTTTCTCTCTACAATTTCCTGTCTCGCAATGTACCGTTTGTGTCCGGGAAGGGTTCATAGTTTCATAGTTGTCGATTTTCGAAAGAAATCAGTACATGTATATTATTTCGTATATTTTTCGTTTTACAGCATTTTTGATCCTTCTATTTTTTAATAAAAAGTGTATTTAAATACCTTGTTGTCCAAAAATTACCAGAAATAAGTTTTTAAAAATGTTCTCTTAATTCTAAAATAGGTAAAATATAGGAAATTTGTGATTTTTCACAAGATCTAGAATTTTTTGTGAAGTTGAAGGAATATGAAAGTTTTTAGGGTTCCGTTGAAGAAATTCGCTGGAAAATGTCTGGCAACACTGCCTAGGGATCAGAAGAGGACCACAAAGATCTGAAAAGCGCGCAGTGGATCAGGCCGATAGCCACATCGAAGTGTCTAATCTAATCTGCGTGTATATTACGTATATGTACATAAAATATATAAGACGTATAGTTGCGCAATTTTGAAACATCTTTTATTAATAGTGTTTTATTCAGCATGTTTGTTTTTGATCGTATCTATGATTTATAAAAACTACAAATGCACTTAAATCAGATTTTTTTTGTTTTAATAGAAAACATTCTTTAAATCGGATTTCCTAGGCATAAAAGCAGGGGCGCATATACGGGAGGGGTAATGGGGGTAATTACCCCTCCCAGAAAAAAAATTATTTATTTTAATTATTTCTTTCGAAAATCGACAACTATGAAACTATGAACCCTTCCTGGACACAAACGGTATATATAATTGTGAGACAGGAAACTGTAGAGAGAAATAAGCCCTATAACATAAAATCAATAAAATGAAAAACATACGAAATAATATACATGTTCTGATTTCTTTTAAAAATCGACATCTATGAAACTATGAACCCTTCCCGGACACAAACGGTACATTATGAGACAGGAAATTGTAGAGAGAAACAAGCCCTATAACATAGGATACAGTATTTTAATGAACAGTGCTTTCCATAAAATCAATATAATGAAAAATATATACGAAATAATATACATATTCTGATTTCTTTCGAAAATCGACATCTATGAAACTATGAACCCTTCCTGGACACAAACGGTACATTGTGAGACCGGAAATTGTAGAGAGAAACAAGGCCTATAACATAGGATACAACATTTTAATGAACAGTACTGCTTTCCATAAAATCAATATAATGAAAAATATATACGAAATAATATACATATACTGATTTCTTTCGATAAATCGACAACTATGAAACTATGAACCCTTCCCGGACACAAAAGGTACATTGTGAAACAGGAAATTGTAGAGAGAAACAAGGCCTATAACATAGGATACAACATTTTAATGAACAGGCTTTCCATAAAATCAATATAATGAAAAATATACGAAATAATATACATGTACTGATTTCTTTCGAAAATCGACAATTATGAAACTATGAACCCTTCCCGGACACAAACGGTACATTGTGAAACAGGAAATTGTAGAGAGAAAGAAGCCCTATACAGGAGCGTATATACGGGAGGAGTAATGGGTGTAACTACCCCTCCCAGAAAGAAATTAATTAATAAGATAAAACTTGTTACAAAAAAGTTAATAATACAAATTAAAACAGAATATCCAAACCAATCCAAATATATTTTTTCCACAGTTACAATATCTTCCAGCAAAAATTTAATTCAAATTTAGTACTTTTTTGAATATTCACACTACCCAGACTCAATCTTTAGATGCGCCACTGCAAAGAAGAGAAGTACTTTTCCTAAGCACAAAAGTATAAATAAGTATGTATTATTAAACTGATATTAAGTGTCAAATTTATCGAGTGTATCTACATAATATTGTTGCCCGATATATAATTACTTACATTTGAAATTGATTAAACAATAATTTGTAACTTTTGAAAAAAAAATTGGGTATTCTATTCGGAGTAAAAAATGTACTTTTTGTGCCTCCCTGTAAAGTCGGACTAGCTTTACGCTGCACTGATCGGTCAAAAAAAAAATAGTATTTTTTACTCCAATTAAAACAATACACTGTTGTTCCGAAATAGTCAAGTCGAGAATGAAATTAGTATCATCCAATATGAAAGTGTAAAGTACTTACTGCAGATCAAAATGTCAGTAGAAATTTGAAAAGAACTACAAGATAAATTGGAGAAGGCAGAAGTTATCTTGATCAACATACAGCTGTTTCAAAAAAGATATAAAACAGCAATTTTCTAACAAAGATTCTCGGGAATGAAGATAGTCTAACATCAGAAGAATCTAGTTCTGCACTAGACTTCAGGCCACTTAAATTCGTCTAGATTTTATTTATTAACACCCCGTATAATGAAATTAACAAATTCATTTGCGAAATTCCACAGGAGAAATCCCTAAAAATAAGCAGAGGAATCAGGAATTCACTTTTTTTTGTCAATTTGCCTTCTGTCAACATACCTATTTTTAATAGCATCCAGTGAGACATGGATGGTCTCCCGCTACGAACGCCTCTGTTTTATACAGCGTGTCTCAAATAAAAATAAATAGCACGCACTTCAAAGATGAATATCCGTATTTTTTCGACAGCACAATTTTAGATTCGGAAAAAATCTAAAATACCGAAACACCTAATTTTGACTCACCCTGTATACCTCTATCATGCGAGGGGCTGTTTTTATAATTATAGGGAGAGCTGTAATTGTTACATAGCCTCCGATTGTAACAACATTGTAGTATTTTTGAAAAATAAATATTATGGTAAAATTTATTAAGTAAAAAAACAACATTTGCACCATTGGGACAACCTGTATAGTTAAGTTTTTTAAAAATATTCAATAATAATGGTACTCACCAGAATTTTGTGCCATGGGTACTTTACTTCTTGGATTGTTGATCCTTGATGATGACTGATCTTCTTGGGCGTAAACCAAGCATAGCGCCGCCACCAAAACAGCAACAATCAACATCATTTTGGTGCACGTTGTTCAATTGGAGCAAATTTTGCACTAAGTTCATAAAATTATCTCGAAAAATGCACAAAATACGACAAAATTTGATTCTTTTCAATAAAAATCCTTGTTTCTATCCATATATTTGCAAGAAAAATCACTTAAAATGTTCTAAAGTATCACTATAGTCGAAATTCTGCACTATAACTCGAAAAACAGTATACTATTAATAAAAAAATCTTCCTAATCACGATCAAAAGTATTTTTAACAAAGTTTATGAGGAAACTTCACTAAAACTGCGCTAAAGTATCACTAGACACTAATTTGAACACTATGACTTGTTGTATTTTTACAAAATAAAATTGTTAAAACCGTAGTAAAATTTTACGTAAAGTTAAGTCGCTTTAACCAGGAGAAATGAACGTCTCAACTAGACGAAAGTTTGAATTGAACTAACTGGCAACTGGCGCTTAACTTGCACGATAGCTATTAGCTGAGAAGCGCATCTGACTGAGCCTGGTAGGGACGTCCGAGGATATCGATAGGTCAAAATATCGATACTGCTTAGAAATATCGATATCGTTATTGTAAGCCAGGTATCGATACTTAAGCTTAAGTGTCTGGAAATAGTTAGGGATTTGAATGTAGATGTAGATTTTATGGGATATCTCTACTGTTCCACTTTGTGCAGATAAAAATAAGTAAAAAAGTTCGTATAAATGCTTACTTTTGGAGATACAGGGTGTAGAAGTTTCATTTTTATTTCGATGATTTCCAAATAATTTCTGAAGTAACGCCAATATATGGATGAAAATTGGTGTCTAGGAGTTTTTTGACATGGGAAATTTGATTTTGATGTCAATATGACTCCTACTTGTAGGGGGCGCCACCTACATATTTTTTAACTGGTTTAAAGAGTAATAACTTTTCGTCCGTACCTGTATAAAACTACTGAGTAAAAAAATATACATTTACGATGTTTTTTACGTAAAAAAGATCTCTGCTACGAGTAATGATTTTCGAGATAATTAAAATCGAAATTATCAATACCTGTCATCATTGACATAAATTACATGTTGACCAGATACATAGTTATTAGACTAAAATTTTAAATTTGAAATGGTTTTGTGTCAAAAGTTCAATAGAAACTGTTTTATCATCATTTTTTCGAAGAAAAATTTATGATTAACTTAAAAAAATAAAAATTTCCCAAAACGGTCCCAAAATTCGGACCAGTCAATTTGATCAAACTAGAAAAAAAGAATAGTACAGCCCTATAAAGGGTTAAGTTTATTCCAAATTCCAATAAATGTTTTAAATAAAAAAAACACCCCAAGCAGCATTTTGACGTCGGGACAACGTTGTGTCACGCGACCAAACGTCGGGGCGCAACGTCGGCACAACCTCGTGCCAACCCTAGTCTGCACTAGTTTGGAGAATAATTTTTGGGTCGCAACGACGTTGGATACCGACGTTGGCTAGTAGCCTAATTTAGTACAAACTGCAACGTTGTTTAAAATCCTAATTCACTGAAATACAAAACTATAATAATATGGCGTCTAAGTCGCGTTTTATCCTAAATTGGGATAATTATAGTAAAAATATTATTTTTATGATTTAGTAAGAGACATAGGCCAGATGGCCAGTAAAGGAAAACAAAACAAAAGTATTTAAGTGTGGAGGATGTTTGAAGATCATAATTATTGAAACACTTTAACCAACTCTGTAACTCGTTACCCAAGGCAAAAAAGTTAAACGCAAACAACTTTATTGATAAATGTATTGTTTCTTAAAATTAAAGAAGTTTTAAAAAATTTCTTGAATTTTTTTTTAGTAAAATGAGAATAAGTTATTCGCAATTATTTCCGCGTATTGTTTAGGGTCAAATATTTCAAGTTAATGTATTCAAAAAGCAGGAATTGCTATTTTAGGAACGAAACATTTTCTTATTCAATAACATGGCGGCTTTCACTTTGTTGTTTTGGAGATTAAGATGGAGTAGTTCGAGTAGTCGCATACTGGACTAATAAAGTCGCAGTTCAGCCTTAACAGGTAGTATACTAGTCGCAAGATTGCCTAATTTAGTCATCCTAGAGTCTAGCTTGTGCCGCCCTCTATAATCTAAATAAACGAGGGAGTGGATAAAATATCGGTAATATGTCGATGTATATTTAAATTTAGTTTTATATGTGCCTTCCTTACGTCCCATTTTAATTAAGTTTTTTTTATAAAAACAAAACAACACTGAACGGTCTGACTGAACAGAACAATGAAGTGAAAATTTAAGATTTAAGGTTATGGTTCAATACAGTTGCAAAAAAGTAGTGGCGCGACGTCCTACCAACGTAAGAATAAGGAAATCTAAACAACGCAGGAATTACGTAGGTCCTGAAAGTGACGTCGGAAAACTCTTTATTGCCCAACATTGTAACTACGTTGTCCGAATCACCTAAAGATCGCTTAAGCAAAAAAGGTTACAAGACAACGTTTATTCGACGTCGCAGTAGCTTTTACTTTGTTGTAGTACTAGTTCAACGGCGGCACAACGTTACAACAACGTTTACATTTATTTTAATACCAAGGTACGGAGCTAACTATTTTTTGTAACTAATCCAACGTTGTGTTTAGTAAACATGTGATCGCAAGTCGTGAGAATGCTATTTGGGACATCAACTATCGATACTTTTTCGTAGAATGCCCATGCCTAGCTAGCGAGACTGTTCGATCCAGTGACGTAGCCGTTCGGGCGCCAGCCGCCACTAAATTGTTTTTCGAGTAGCGGCACTTTGCCTTTGTCAACTTTCAAAAGAAAGAGACACGTATCTACACAGAGAGATAACCTTTTTTTGTCCCCTGGTTGGATGATCGCTCGGCAGGCGCCGAAGCCATTTTCTTTGTTACAATCATTGTAAACTCTCTACTCTAAACTATATTGCGGGTCAATTAAATTCGGCTAGCCATGAATGACCCTGTATAAAAAGAGCATAAATTAAATTGAATTCATTTTGAGCGCATTACAAGGCGTGTCTTGTTTTACGCGGTTTCGCTTATACGCGCTTGCATTTATGGCACCAGTAACTTTTTTTACGCTGTTCGCAGGATTAAAAGTTACGTGAGATATTTTTGAAGATTTCTAGACTAGTTTTTCGTTTAAAGCTGTCATTTTTAACTTTTTTTGAAATTGGGATATCCTGTACAGTGTGTCCCATTTTGGTTGAAATCATAGGGTATCTCCGTTATTAGTGGAGATAGAAGGGTGCGGTTTGCACAAACCTGTCCCACTTTTTCGTCAAACGGAAGATGCTGCAAACAAATTTTTCATAGCCCTCTTCATTTCTGAGCTACAGGGTCTTTTCGAAAATTTTGCAATTTGGGACACCCCCTGTATCTCTGTTATTGTTAAAGGTATCGAGAAGGCGAAAACTGCTTATTGTAGAACTTTTTACGTAGAATACAGTGGCGTAGTCTGTTTTTCTACCAAAAAAATATTTTTGAAAATATGAACTAAAGTTATGTTTTTTCAAACGGAACACCCTATATATTTATAAATCATATGATCTGTTTTGCTATGAGCTTCTCAAAAATATATATCACTCTATATTTATTTTTACTATTTACTGCAATATTTAAAATATATCATTTTCTTATTAGTAGGCCGTGATAAATAACAAAAAATCAAAATGGTATTTACTAAAATAGTCATACACATATTAAAATTTATCTGGGATTGATATATTTTACTTTCGAAATAACTGTTACCACTGAAACTGTGAATATATTTTTCTTTTTTTATAACGGGATGGGTTTGCAAATATCTAAATCTTGAATTATTAAAGCATTTTTCAGGTGTTCGAAATTGTTGTAGTGCCCACGATATATTTCGTATTTCGAAAATCCTCAAAATCAGAAATCGAGAACGACGAAATCCGGGAATCGAGGAGGCTATCAATATGTGTTCATTGGTTCCAATTCATTGATTTGAAAAATAATAATTTAACAGTATTCTAATATTTCCATAGTTATGTGGGGGAATGTTCCCCATCTTGCTGAAAGTATATTTGACGTAAATTAGCTAAAGGAATATCTAAAATTTCCGATACGATAGATTAGTCTTACGTATACACGTATTCCAAGATTTACAAATAGCGGTAGAGACTTAAGTTTCCCTAATATATAAAGAATTTATTAGCGGCTCCCAAAATAAAACAAAAGACAGATAGCAGTATACTTTTAATAATTCTTTAGATTCTTTTATTATCAATCATGGCCTACTAATAAATATGATCTTTTAATAAAAACTTTTAAATATTGCAGTAAATAGTGAAAATAAATATAGAGTGATATGTATTTTTGAGAAGCTTATGCCAAGACAGATCATATGATTTATAAATATACAGGGTGTTCCATTTAAAAAAACATAACTTTAGTTCATATTTTCAAAAATATTTTTTTGGTAGAAAAACAGACTACGCCACTGTATTCTACGTAAAAAGTTCTACAATAAACAGTTTTCACCTTCTCGATAGCTTTAACAATAACAGAGATACAGGAGGTGTTCCAAATTGCAAAATTTTCAAAAAGACCCTGTAGCTCGGAAACGAAGAGGGCTATGAAAATTTTGTTTACGGCATCTTCCGTTTGACAAAAAAGTGAGACAGGTTTGTGCAAACCGCACCCTTCTATCTTCACTAATAACGGAGATACCGTATGATTTCAACCAAAATGGGACACCCTGTACAATATTTTTTTATTTTTTCCTTGCCTTGGTTTGAGCTCTCTAAAAATAGAATATACATACTTTATACTTATTTTCATAAACAAACGTTTTGTATACCGGGTGCGTCTCAAAAGTGGCTCACCCCCTATAACTTTTTTATTTTTCCAGATAAAAAAACTAGTTTTGGGTGCGTTGGTATATGACATAAATTTGGATTGATTGACGTATTGAATTGTTTTCGGTCACTTCCTGTTTCACCGGAAATGAGTACAACTTTTGGTTTTTAAATGGCACCCTCGGTATTTTTTTACTTCATTTGATAGAATATAATGACATATTATATGTCAACTCTTGACGTTTTTGCTTAAAACAAAATTGTATTTTAAATTTAAATCTAGAGTGCCATGGCTGTGTTAAAAACACCAGTTTTTAATCAAGGAGTCTAAAAAATAGATTAGGTCGTCTAATGTTTTAGGGTCTTATCCTGGCCGTGTAAAAGATGCCTAAATCGTATTTTTAATCATATTTCAATTTTTTCAAATGGAACGAGGGTGGCTCATTAGCATATTTGGAAAAGTATTTTTTTACAAATAATTTGGCACCACACACTTGGTATTTCGAGTCAAATTGTCGTTATGAATCGCTTGTTGCAATTTCAAATGTTAAAGGTTGGTATATGATATGCCATTCTATTCAGAGTGTCATTTTCTAACGAATAAAGTAAAAAAAATACCGGGGTTTCCATT